AAAAACAATAAAAAAACTACAATAAAGAAAAACAAAGAAAAAATAATAAAAAAATAAAAATAAAATAAAAAAGTTCAATAAACACAACCATATATCTAAACCAAGCTGTATTGATGTAATTCAAGCACTAAATCATATAAAAGAAAAGGTATCCCAATCCTGTAAAAGGCCATCTCAAATAATCCAAGATATAGCAATTGAAATATCCGAAGATTCTTTTTATTATATGCCTAATAATAAGGCATTACGTAGACAAATTTCATATATTCAGCTTAGAAATACTCTTTCTCAACCACAATTGCTACAAGAAATAGATGTTTCTGTACAATTACAAACAACTATGAGAAAAGAATGCTTTTTAGCTAGAGAAATAGATCTCAATATGAAAAAATTATGATTTTTTATACTAGCAATAATTTACTTTACCTTGAAGAAGCTAATTACTGGATCATGGATGGACTGTGCCCACAATTTTCAGACAATTATATACTATCTATGGTCCAGTTGGGGAAGAAAATAATTCTCAAGTTTTTCCTTTAGTTTATATTTTAATAACAAGCCAATTAGAAGAAAGTTATAAATATATATTTCAAAAATTATTAAATCTAAGTGAAGAAGGAGGTTATAATTTAAATTTGGCTATAATTATAACTAATTTTGAATAATCAGTTATTAATGCAGTTTGATCTAAATTTTCTAACTCTACACATAAAGGTTGTTTGTTTCATTTTTGTCAAAATCTTTAAAAAAAAATTCATGCAGAAGGATTAGTTATTGAATATAGTAATAATGAAAGTTTTAGTCTTAAATTATACTATCTAGCAGCTCTTGTTTTTCTTTCTTCTTTAGAGATTCTAGCAGCATTTGATACAATTAAGTCCTTAATTTCTCCTAATGCTATTGAAATTGTTAATTATTTTGAAAATAATTATGTTTATAGAAAAATTTGACAACAACTTCGAAATAGAGTTGCAACCTGTATTTCACCTTTATTTCCTCTATTCTTCTGGTCAGAATATGAATTAGTTAAAAATGGATTCTCTAGAACACAAAATTTAATAGAAGGATAGTATAATAGATGAACAATCTTGTAGAAAAAGTGCATGTTGGTCCTTATACAATTATTGCGAAATTGCGCAAAGAACAGCAACAAGTTGATTTGCAAATTGAATATGTTTTGTGTAGTGAACCTTGTCCAACTCAATGTAAATGTACTATTGATCATAAAAGAAGAATTCTATCAATTTTTAATAATTGTGATACTTATACACTTGTTGATTTTTTAAGGGCATTGTGCATAATATTTTTTTGTAATTATGCACTATTTATAATCATGATAAAAAAATCTAAATACTACATACAAGCTTGTTTAAGAGAATTTTAAAGATAACCCTAATTAAGTTTATCTTTTTTTCTATTTCATTATATATTACTAGTATTGTCAATCTATATATATATTATTATATATTGCTAGTATTTTATTTATAATTTCTTTTTTATTTATTAGTTTTTTTATTTTTTATTTTATTTTATGTTTTATTTTTTTTTTATTTTTTTTTTATTTTTTTTTTTTTTTTTTTTTTTTTTTTTTTTTTTTTTTTTTTTTTTTTTTTTTT